GAAACGGACCTTTTTATAGAAAACAGAGTATTGGAAGAGTGATCACCAATAACCAACCACCATCCTTCTTCTTTCCGTTTCTGCGGAAAAAGGGGTGCCACTACGGGTGGAGCCATTCCATTCAAATCATTTTCACGTTCCATTTCGACGGTAACGTTTATTGTATCACCTCTGAAATGGAATTAAATCAAAATCAATGGTATCCAAACTTACAAGAAAACTTTCTTTTAAGTGAAATTTCCAAAAAAAAAAGATCAGCAGTTTCTCAGCCTTACAGAAGAAAAAAGAAAAATTAGAAACTGTCACAAAAAAATAATTTCGAACAACATGAAATACAAATCATTTACACAGTAATAATTCCATTATTTTCAATTTTGTGTTCAACTTCAATGCTAGGATAATGATTGCAAAATCGAGCAACATCCGACATTTCTGCTGGAGTCATTTGTAGAAGTGATTGCCGGATGTCATCGTCCAAATCCAGCAAGTCAAATATTGACGATATTTTCTATAAAAGAAGCAACATTTTTTAATAAAAATTACAATTCAAGGTTGATGCGAATAGAGAAACAAATTCAACTAAAGAAAAATTTTGGATTATCTAAAAACACGTAATACAGAAAAAAAATGTTGCTCTTTGTCTTTTTTCTCTGATAGTCATGTTTGATTTTATAAAAAAGTTTGCAATTTAATAAATTCGGAAATCTTTTGAAAAATGACGAAAAATACAACTGACTTTTTCCTTACAACGTTCAAGTAAGGAAGCCGAACAATGAGGTAATTGCTTCAAATATGATTCACTGGTGAACATCGCCTGCGTTAACATTTGTGATAGTTCCATTGCATGAACTGCCGGCATCAACCAGCCATTGCTGAAAAGTATATATAAAAGTGTAAGAAACTTAAAATGAATAAAAATCTCCAAGTTTCGAGCAGATTTTTTACTATTATTACTGACTTTAGAAATGATTTAAAGAGAAGAGCAACTATTGTCAGTAATATATTTCAGCATTTTTTCGCAATCAATGCAATATACCTGCTTAAAACATCAACGCAAGCTTGTACCAGACGAATTGATCTAAGAATAACAACTTCTGTGTCTTTATTCAGCTCAGCTGATAATTGTATGCGAGCTAAGTGAGCGTTCATCAATAAATTAACCTGAAAAAAATTAAATGAACCAAATTATATCATACGCTTCCAGTATGGGTTGTTTCTTATAAGAATTTGAATATTTGGTTGAAATTTTGGTCTAGCTTTTAATGAAAAATAAAAATATAGAATGATTTATTTATAGTATACCTTGACATGAGGATCTGTAAACTTTTGATGTTTTTGTTGGCCTGCCAATCGATCAGCCAGCTGTTTCAACAAAATATCTTCCTTGTAACGTATTGGCATGTTTGCAAATTCGCTCGCGTTACTGATAATTTCAATAAGAGCTCGTAATTTGGTTTTCGCGCTCAAAGACATACTGAACACTTCTGGAAATGAAAGAAAAGGATATTTTTTTACAAACAAATACCATGAATTACTTAAATCTAATTTATTTGAAGACTATTTTTGTATTTTAGCGATGCTTCTTCCAATACTCCAATGCTGCCAGTCCTCACAAAAATGCAATAATATGCGTAGTGAATACTTTACACTGCACCAGTACTGATAAGAAATAACCATTGTAAATCTAATTCTTTGAAAAAGAAGTGAGTCCTTCAAAGAACTGTTTCTTTCAAATACAGCTTAAGTCAAAAAAAGCTATAAAAATCTCATTCCTTTTTCGAGTGGAATGGATACAAAATTTACCGATTGTTGTATAACTTATATAGTAGTAAGCTGCAATCATTCCCAAATTGAGCGGCTGTGTGTCCATATCGTTCTTAATCGTAATGCATTTTGAATTCTCCAGATCTTTCAACGTATTTTCTACTAATTCGGAAAGGCTGTCTGATAAATGGCGATGCGTTACACCTTGCAAATTGTAGTAATTCGGATTCTGTGTCATACGTCGGTATAATAAAGTCCATGTAAGGTACTGAAAATGAGATCACTTACACGACAGAACAAAATGACGGAGCAAAAACGTCAAAGAACTATCGCAAATAAATAATGGGTAGCACTTCACAGAGAAATTGCAAGTAACTTCACTTTAGAAAGAGAAATTGCAACAAATTTTCTCTAAACCTTATTGAAGTAGCATATGTCTTTCTTCACAGCAACTTTACAAGCAAATTTGCTAAAAGCAAACTCACATCGATCGCATCTTGTTTATTTTCGATCGTTTTAGTCACAATTTCAGCATTAAAATGATCATGAAGACAATGATCCAAATGTGATTCAACAGGAAGTGGTTCATAAAGAAATTTTTTGAAAAAATCCTTTTTTGAAGATTGACACATAAGAACGCATTTTGCTGAAATGAAAAATTGTATGTACACTTAACAAAACATCTTTCTCACAACACAAAAATCTTGATGAAGACGGCTATGTCAAGAGCACAGCCAAAAAAAAAAATCAAGACCTTGTTTAAAAATACCGAAACTAATGCAATCTGCTATTAATATTTATGCAACCTCCTCATTTAACATAGCATCTTTGCTTTGTGTTTCAATGGTCATAATTTATGCTTCCTTTTTGAATAATTGACACAATTTTGATCACACAAATGAATAAGTAATCACCATCATCATCAATTCCGGGTCTATTCGCCAGTCCAACCATGTGCAAAACATCACCTACTGGATAATCTTCATAGACATGGTACTTTCCGTTGTAAAACTGTGTATCCATAATAACCACAACGTATGCACTCATAGAAATTTGGTAGCACATTGTGCGTGGAACAATGCAAACCTTAAATATCAACTTTGGACGAATGAATATACAATAAATTAAACTAAATATTATGATAGCAGTAATTTAATTAAAAAAACGTACGGTACCATAAGCATCTTAAAAGGTATAGTGACTAATCTTAAGTGTGTTGTTAAGATAGAAAATTCTACACTACATTTTTTCTATATGGTAGATAGACATATGGTAGGTAGATTACAAGGACAAAATTTTTTGGCAGAATTGGAAAATATCAATTTATATCAAATTTGATGCATGGTTTATTGGGCCTAATTATTTTAGAATCCACAGCGGTTTCTCTATAAACAGAATATCTCAGTAATTGTGTATGTAATTCAAACAAATAGAGCAAAATCTAGCAAAGTATGTCTCACAGAAAAAGTAATTGTTATAATTTCAATTTTCTTGATATTAATTAACTTTAGGTCCGTTCAAGAAATTCAGTTATAAAAAGATAAAGTTATTTAGAACAATATTTCTTCATATATGCATCTACATATGCTTACTATATGTCCAAAATATGAATATAATGCGTACATTACATGCATAATAATGAATAAACAAACCTGAATTGCACCACTTTGAAAAAGTTGTTCCACAACGGCCATATCTTTGACACCTGTACCTTCATGTATAAAACCTACTCCACAAGATAATGTTTCTTTTAGAGTTTTATCCTACAAAATATAACAGAGTCATATATATAACGGATTTATAGAAACTTCAACAGTTTCACTCTGAATAAGACAAAAATTTTTCGAAACTTTTAAAACGATTAACAGTATACCTGAACATTATCTAGCAATCGAACAAAACTTGGTTCTTGTGGATTAATGTGCAAAAATCGCTTTGACTGTCCATCAGCATGTGCCATTGTGAGCATATCGACAGCAGTTGATCTCGACTGCCGTCTGCTAGGCACAAAAACAAGTGCAGGACGTGGGCGCAACTTACCACCATGCCGTACAACTGCTGCATAAACCGGTCGTGCCATTGCTGCCAATCGAGAGGCGGTATGTGATAAATTAAAACCCTGCAAATGATTTAAACTTGAATCTCATAATGCCAATACAGGCGATAACATTTGCCCCCGACAACATTTTGCTTTAGAAGAATATGTATGTGACCATGCAAATACATCTGTTTAAAATTAACCTGTATAAAAAGTTCTAATGGAAGAGGTCGACAGTTTGGTGCAAAATTAAAAGTAGCCTGTGAAGAACAACCAAGCCACTGTCCAACATCTCTGGCATTGGCTAATGATGATGAAAGAGCAACAATTCGAACTGTTGAATCTAACTGTGACGACATATAGCGCATACGTGAACAAATTACTTCTAGTACTGGCTAAAAAATCAATTTATTAGAGTAAATTATTTAATGAAGTAATGAAAAACAATGTGAAAATATAAACATGGCTAAATCAAAAGAGATTAAGTTCAGCAAAAACTAGAAGAATCTGTTTGAACATAGCAAACTATAACAAATCTTGGTAAATTTTTTTTCTTAAAATAAAGATTCGAAAATCCCTACATCGCAACTTCTCTCTATGAAATGATCATGCTTCTTTTTTTATCAATGCTCATATTTCTCTCATACCATTTACAAATGGATTTTGTTTACTGAGTAAAAGGGAAATATGATCACTCTATCATTTCTTCTCCTTTCAAAAATTACATAGTGAAAACGCAAATAACGGGATAAATCAAGAAAAGCATACGATAAATTTTCAAAAATATAAGATAAATATGAACTAGAAAAACTGAATATTTGATGAAAACCAACTCGTTTACTTTCAGAAAAGAGATCCCAATGATTTTAGTGATAAAAAAGAATCGATTTCCAGAAAAATTGGAAAATGATAAGAGCGACAAAAAAGTAATTTAGTTTTCAACCGTTTATATTTTGCTAGGTATTGACTAACGAACCCCGTTACTGCTTCCAATCATATGAAGATCGTCAACGATAAATAACCGCACAGCTTGAACATTTTTTCGCTGTTTCCAGCGTCGACTAACATTGTCCCACTTTTCTGGTGTTGCTATAATCAACTGTCCTCGTTGTAATAACTTCAAATCAGTAGATGGTTCGCCAGTCAACATAACAACTGTTTTTTCTAGTGCAGCTCCAATTCGTTCTTGCCAATCAATGAATTTCTAAAAAGAAGCAATTCTTAATAGAATCGATGTCACTATACAAAATATGTATAACCATTGAAAGTAAGGCTCCTAGTATAATATATTGTTCTTCCATATATACAAGTTTTTTGTGATAATATTTAACAGTGCTAAGATACAACAAAATTAAAAATAAATGAACTTTTTCGGCCAAATCTTCCATTGGTGTCACGTAAACAGCTTTCGCATCAGGCCTATTATCAAAATGCCGAAGAATAGCGAACTCAGCACAAACACTTTTACCACTTCCATGTGGTGCACCAATGAACACATTATCGTTACCTTCATAAACAGTTCGAAAAACTGTAACAAAATAATTTAGATTCGTGCTATGATCATTAAGTTGTGAAAACACGAGATATGAACCATAATTTCTGCTACATAAAAACGTATCTCGAAAATATATTTCCCTTTCATTTCGTTTTGCAATTTAATATTTTTCTTTGCTCCACACTGTAAATTTTCTAAATATATGACATCCTAAACAAAGCCTAAATTTTAAAGACCTTATTCGGAACATTTGGTAGATTCTGCAAACGATATATATTCTTATATTTGGTACATGGAAATTTACCTTGTGTTTGAATGGGATTGAATACGGAAATGTTTTTTTGTTCGAATACTGACTGGAAAAGCTTATTGTTTAAGGCTGACAAAGGTAACGGTTGCAAATCCAATAATTCGGTTGGCGGTGGATATTTTTCGGGCAAGATTAAATGTCGAAACGATATAGGTAAAACAGTTTCGCTACCAAGCCAACGATCAGAAACTAAAATCATTGAATTTTATCTTCATTATCCGAGTTCATGGTTTATAATTTTTTCTTTTCTTAAATTCCTTAATGAGTTATCCCTATTCATTAAACTATAAGATCAAATAAAACAATACCTATGCGTATAAAATATAACGGTGGCAGCGGATCGAATACTGGTACGAACATTTTCACCAAATGTTCATCGTCGCAAAACTTTTGCTTTAGAAGGAAATATTCGTGATGTAGAATCAGTTCTCCATCAACATCCTCAACAAATATCCAAAATCCTTCAGCCGTCCCTGAAATCAATATTCAAATTCCCAGAATTCATTTACATTACCGAATAAAAATGATTCAGATGCAAAAGAAAACAAACCATGCACACGAGCATCCCACAGAAAATCGGGTGTAACTGTTAGTTCAATTCTCAAAGTCGATCGCGTTATGGGTTGAATTAGTGCTGTCATATCTAATTTCGGTAACTGAAAAGCCAATTTCAATTCATTTACAATATTATCTGACAAATGTGTAAATTTTAGGAAAAAATAGAATAAAATATGTCATTGTCCATACCTGACGGATAAATTTGTATAAGGGCTTGCCCATTTTTGGCATTTTCACCAGCTCGCCGAGCTGATGTTGATCAAGATCATATAAACGTTCAAATGAAAGATTCTTCTTGTCGATGCTTCGAACAACCTCAAAATTTATTAAATCAATTAGAATGCATACCATAAGCACTTGAATTTGGAAGTATCACTCAAATAATACTATAAATCTCCTTCAATTTATATAATTAAATGACTAACCTCTGAGGGTATTTTCTTAAACTGGTGAAGAGGATTAAGTGATTGCCACTGCCGAGCGCTAATCATTTTGCAAACGCCAAGAACCTTCTACAGAAAAAATATGTAGAGAAGAATATAATGATTGATAAGTAACAAAGAATAAGCGGAAAGTGATAACTTTCTTTTATAAAAAAATATCAAAAGTCAGAAAGTTTCAATAGAAAAAATGAACATGCCTGTGCAAGATGTGCCCAACCTCTCCACAATACAATCTCAAACAGTGCTCGGAACAGCCGTCCCGCGGACTGACTAATAAATACCATGTCACTTTGAAGTGCAAACCCCTCCAGCTTCAATTGTGAAATATAGGCCTGCAAAATGCAAGTCAGTTTGCTAAGTTCACATTATAGTGTTTGGAGAGAAATGATTTTTAAAAGAATGACAAATCAGTCATTTATCAATCCTTACTACATTAGTCAGGAGAACAGAAAAATTCGGACAAAAAATCACAATAACTACTGCAAAGAAGCACAATTTAATTTGTACTCAAATTTGTTATCAGAAAGAAAAAATGTAATCTGATGGTATAGTGAATCAACATACTTCCTGTATAAAGTAGTTTATAACATGCAATTACCTGAAGAAGCACATTAACTTTTGCACTACTTTCTTCTAAACTTTCTTTGATTGGGACCGGAACATGTTCAGCCAGTTTTTGCAATTCTAACTTTTCCTCTTCACGAACCATAATATTTCGGAATTCTGATGACATTGAAAATATACGAAATAAGTCAATTTCAGTTGCTGTCGCCTTCAGAAGTTGATTGTATGTTTGCATCGTATCATGAGTACAATAAAAGTGAGAAGCAATGCGACCCAATTCAGTTGCCTGAAATTAACAAAAACTGTTACATGCTCATTATTATATTCCTCGTTATATTTTTGTTCCAGTGTAGTGCATCTAAAATACCTTGTCCTTATTCGTTTTTATCAAATATTCTTCAGTGTAAAGAAAAAATCGAATGCTATACTTATAGATAAATTTAAACAAAAATTAACATGCAACTAGTTCCTTCCAAACAGGATTCCTTTTATAATTTAAAAACCTAAAGCCTAAATGAAGGAAAGGAGGCATACCTGGATAAGTCCACTTCTACGATCATATTTGATAAGATTAGCTTTATCCAACTGTGCTGCAGCTGTGTGAATCAGATCTGCACGTCGCTGTTCCAATAAAGGGTCTAGTTTCTAAAAGTGGATACATATCCTTCCATACCATAGTTTAATTTCATTTAAAGAAACAAAATGCAATTTTGAGATAAATTTAATTCAGTATATCTCTAAAACCTGAAAGTTTTTCAACAGTAAAAAATTATTCAAAAGTCATTCACATTCAAATTTATAAAGTTGAATACCATTTGTTCATGTGAAATGCCGTACAGCGCAGGTGACTTAACCATACGAACATATAAATATGTATAGCCCAACCAATTCATTGCATCACTGACATTATTGACAGTTCCCAAAACTATTTCAGCGTTTAACGTATCAGCTAATTTTGAGATCAGCTGACTTTCGATCGGCAACTGAATATTGAAAGTTTTAGAAAATCCAAAAAACATCGTCAATTTTTAATACAAATCGGTTAAATTCAACAAACCTGTTGATTCATGAGTGATAGATAGTACTGCAACTCGGAGTGATGTGTTATCATAATACCTTTACCCTTTGAGTCATACTGAGGTCGACCAGCACGGCCAAGCATCTGTAAAAATTGAGATAATAAAAAATCGAAAGAGATATAAAGATAAAAACCAAATACTTCAAAAAAATTTACAAGATTTGCAGTAACCACAATATAGAATAAAAACTCAATATAATGCTTTTTTTTGCTCGTAATAAAAATATTATACCCTCCATTCAGAAAATTAAAAAAAATAAGTTCTGCATTCGTAATAAAAGATCTCGTTTTCTTCCAAAAAATTTATAGTGACACCTGCATAACATCTAAGGCGCCTAGTTCAGTCCAACGCCCAATTTCTGGACTGTAAATTTGTGTTCCTTTGATGATCACGGTATGAGCTGGTAAGTTAACACCCCAGGCCAGTGTAGCTGTTGAAACAAGAACCTAAAAATGAAATCTTTTTCTTAAATTTTCTGCAAAAAGAATGAAAGACAAATAAAATTGAAAAAACATAATACCTTAATATAATTTGTAGAAAATATAAATTGATGCTAGAAACGAAATGAAGTCGACCTGCAAATGGCGATCGGCGAACAAGTCCTCAACAAGGGTGCGGTCAACACGAGTCATACCGGCATGATGAATTGCAAAACCATAAGGAATTAAATCCCTCAAATCTGCGTTTGCTACCTAAAAGAAATAATGAGGAAATGAAACCAAACAAAAATGCGTCAATGTAGCTGATACTTCCTTCTCCTAAATCTATAATAAATTCTGTATTCTAAAACTATGCGTTTTACAGTATTGAAATTAATCAGATCTAAAACAAATCGACAGACTATAACTAACTAAAAATCTTCAGTATTGTCTGGTACTCGCTGCTTTTTAATGCATGAAAATAAATAGCTGATTCTGGATAATAGGCAAAAAATTGAACCTGTGATGCTTCGCTCCGGAGAATTTCAGTACTTGCACTGCCTTCCCGCATAAATGCACTTAAAGTATCCTTTTCAAGACAGGCATCACGTATAGCTTTTGCTGTTTTAGCTGTTTCCTTTCGCGAGTGCACAAAAATTAAAACCTGAAAACCAAAATATACAAATAGAAAAGTTCAACAAATGACTGAAGCACAAATATTGAAGAATATATGAAACTATTAGAAGATCTTTAGTTCAGTAATACACTGCAAAAAAAAAGTATTCTTTGAAGAGCAAGTTGAAGCAAAGATATCAATAAACCTGGCTCTTCCCAGCATGTTCCATCACTTTATCATAAACGACTTCATTCATTGCTTGATATCGTTTTAACGCTTTCTTCTCCGTGATACCGATATACTGCTGTTCAAGTGGAACAGGTCGAAAACTATTATCGAAGAAAAACAAATTCTGCGGCTTCACTCGCAGAAATGTCCCAACGTCCTGGTAATTTGGTAAAGTTGCTGAAAGTCCAACCAAACGACATTCTTCATGATTTTGTTCCATTTGTCGTAGAGTTCTGAAAAATATCAACACAGTTTTGATATACCCAAGAATTCTAGCAAAAACATAAGAAAAAATAATTTTGAAAATTAGTACAATTGTGAATGCTTAATTTTTTCGAAATAAAGTCACCTTACAACAATGGCCTCCAACACTGGTCCCCTGCTATCGTGTAAAAGATGAATTTCATCAATGATTAACAGTGCAACGAGCTGACTATAAGCACGTTCCCCACCTGAAAATGCTTCGTAATGTTGTTAACTGTGAATAAAATATTATACCCGCTAATTGCTTTAATTTGAAAGACTTTCCAATCTTTTATAAATTCAAAATTTTTCGAAATTCGATCTACCTTTACGAGTCACAATATCATATTTTTCAGGAGTGCAAACAATCACTTGAGTTTGCATGAACTGTTCCTTGTTCATTTGTTGATCACCAGTCATTTCACCAACCTAAGGTGTAAATTTTACAAATCACCGCAAAATAATCGAAAATAAATCAGTTGAAAATTGAACATGATATCTTGAATACGTATAATCCATAAAAAGTATTTCATTTCCAATCAATGTGTCATCCGGATCATTATCAAATTTTAAATTCAAAGTCTAAAAAAACGCAAGTTTATGACTTACAGTAATTTTGTAAGGCGCTAAGCGTTTTGTGAAAGTTCCAACCATTTCCTGAACTAATGATTTCATTGGAGCAATGTAGATGCATTTAAATTCATCTACCCGTACGCTCCCATCAGTATTCATATGTTTTGATATCTCGCGCAAAATACACAATAGGGCAACATTAGTTTTACCAGCGCCCTAAAAAATCAACATTTTATTTGTCCTGCATTTTCTGTAAATTTAATTTGAAATTATGGATCATCTGTATGGTTAGACTTCGAAGGCAATACAAATGCTTTACGAATGTATAACAGATTATTTATAAACCATGCGAACGAATATACAAAACAGGTACAGATGTTTCTTTGAACATCCTCTCTTTTAAAATTGCTTACCGTAGGTGCACACAGGAGCAAATGTTCATCTGATTTTAAAGCAGAATCGCACAGTCTCGACTGAATCCGATTAAGAGTCTTGAATCCTTCGAAAGCTAGTTGTGCATACTTCGGCAAGTCAGCTATAGCAACGAGTTTCTGAAATGGTTCGTTGTAAACAACAAATATTTTCAACTCAAAAAATTGTGAATTTCCTTTTTAATATAATGAAATCAAAGATTTAATATTTTGGAGAAATTCACCTCATTTTCCTCGAATGGCTTGGGTTTAAGCGCTGGCACATGAACTTCTTCATAACTTTTTTTCTGCTTACGATAGGAGCCATCCGGCAAATGACAACGCTATAAAATTATAACATAATTTCTGAGCATTTTTAAAATGTCCGGTAAGTGATGAACAAATTAATAAAATTATACATTTTTAAACTTAATAACTTTGGATGAATCACTGATCTTTGTCGATTTCTTTAGGAAAAAGAGTTAGTTTGGTATCCCTAATTTTAATCAAACAATAATGCGCACTTCTGATGGCAAACATTTCCAGACATTAAAATTAAGGATGCCTGTTAGAACATATAAGGTAGCTCGAATACACGCATCATTCAGTAACACATAATATAATTGAATCTTGGTAAATCATAACTTCGTGTTATTTTCGAAGAAATCTATGTACAGTGAATTGCTCCTCATTTAGAACATATTTGCCAGATAATAAACTACCTTTACAAAGCAGTGCAATACTGTAAGTAAAGATAAAAAGAAAAAATTAAAAAAATACGCGCTGTACTTTAATAAAAAGGAAATGAAAAAAAAATGAATAATATACTTTGTTGCTCATTAAATGTGAGCCTTGTGAGAACGCAAGATCATCCAAATCAAGTACTTTACGTGATTGTAACCAGTTACCCACTGCTGTCCCTTCTTCATTACCCCCTTCAGCTTCAACTATTCTACGTTGTTGTTGTACCCGAGCACGTTTTTCCCGTTCAGCCTATAATGAAAATAATTAGGAAATTTTTGATAAATCGCTCACCCAAAATAAAAATCTTCTTAGTTTACATTCAACATCTGTTATTTACCTCAACTGTATCCGCACTTTCTGTTTCGTGAAGCTCAGCGAGAATATGGTGCAGCTCTGGTCGACTTAACATTTCCTTCTCGATGTTTTCTCTTTCTCTGCCTTCCTGTGCTTGTTTCAAGAGAGTACAGTACAAAATCATTTGTCGGTGTTGGCGAAGCACTTTGATAAATTCAAACTGATCGAAACCAAGTAATAATACAAGCTGATTCTCACAATCACGGTCATCGGATGCCTCCTAAAAATGAAGTTTATGAATATAAAAATTGGATATGTTGATGCTGAAAGGTTACTAGTATTAAATTGCTCCAGACATAAAATTATCATGATGAAATGCAGCTTTTACCTTTAAAACTTGCAACACTTCATTAACTTTCTGCTGTGCCACAATTGGATCTTTGTAAAATTTTGAGAGTGACCGTTGAATCCAATGTGCATCTATATCACGAGCATGCAGATTTCCTTTTCGTTCACCAGCCGCGTTCTATAACAAAGCGCCTCACGTACTTATATAACTTTCATGTATTATTCCTTTTGATAAATTAATTTTAACAGATGTTTGATTATATGACAGCAAAGCGTTGGGTGGATTAAATAAAAGGCCTATATGTAGTCACGTAAGCACTCATTTGCATCACTACAAACATAGAAATCGGTTTGACCCGCATTTTTAGAGGCTACAATTCTACCGATTGTAAGAACAATGTGTGAAAAGTTTTTTGACTAAGGAACAAAACAATCACTGAACTCAGTTATTTGAAATGTTGGAATGATTTTATAGTAAGAAATAAATAAAAATACAGATCCAAAAATCTGAAAAAAACCTCATCATCCTCATCAACGTATCGAGCTTTAAGTGTTTCTTCAAAAACAGCTTCAACGCCACCTTCATCTTCTGCACCTGATCCTTCTTCTTTCACCTCTTCCTCCATACCTTCGTCGCCCTCAACTTCTTCATCAGAATCATCGAATTGTACATTTACACCAATTGTTTCGTCTATTTCATCTTGCTGAAAAAAACTGATTAAAAAAATCCTTTCATGGAAATATGGAATTTCAGTAACATAAAAATCGACGATGAAGAAAGCTTTTATAAGGAAAATCTTAATAAAATGATTTCGACTACAATGTTTTCTATATAATGCTACTATTATGAAAAAAACTTGCATTGTCAAATTTCCCTTTCTCGTCATCGACTGAAAAATCAGTTATTTTTTTAGCGAGATTAATAAGCACAGCAATTCTTTCATCCGTTAGCAGTCCAAGAAGAAGCTCTACTTCCTTCTTACGATCCTTCTCACGAATCTTGTCAGATTTTAATACTGCCAGGACTTCATCAGCAGCACCACATAGAATGTCACGTGGCTATAAATAAGACTTGATGATTTAATCATAAAAATAAAATAAATGTCAGTAATTCAAAAGCTACTGAAAAAAAGGCTTCAGGTCGGAAACCACTGAATATATGTGCACGTGGATAAAATAGTAAAACTGCACAAAAATACAAATTTTAGCATGATTACCGGCGAATGTAAACTATTTTCAAAACTTCTGAAAATATTCTATGCAAGAGCTCTTGGAATTTCACGTCTTCAGACCAAAACTACCTGATCTCCAATAGCGTCTTGTATATAAGCCAATATTGCTTCATAGGTCTGTCTTGTTTCTTGAGTTCTTGGTTTGTACAAACCCATCAATTCCGTGTTTGAATCTCCCAACAAAGTGTGCGATGTAGTACTATTTCCCGTGATACTTGCATCAGTTCGCTTTTTTCTGAAAACAAAAATGCGAGGAAAAAATATGATAAATTTGAAAATGCTAACAAACAACATATTATAGACTTACAAAAAAAAATTAATAAAGAAAACCTTTCAGATCGCAAAATAACGAGCTTCAAAAGTAAAATCATTTTACGAGAAAGTGGTTCCAAATCAAGCTCTAAAAGGTAAGCTACAGAATTATTAAAAGGGCTTTTTATTTTCCGAATTAGAGTTTTATCAACAATTTGTTTATGATTGCTCCTGTTTATTATAATTCATAGCAACTTACTTTTTTGCTTTCTTGGTGTCAATTACAGGTGCTTTGGCTCGCTGATACTTGTCACCCATCTTAACACCAGCCAAAACCTCCTTAGTGAGTGGCATAACTTCACCGGTAGGCTCATCGCGGCCACGACGATCTGTGAAATTGAAATCGACTTGCAGTACAAGATTGCTATTCTGAAATGACAAGCACTTAATTCAAACATTTGAAAATTACTGATGTTATTAAAAACTATTTAATTTGTTAACAACCTAGATTTAACACAACAAGACATTATACTAGTATACTTATATTGAACAAATCCTGAGGATTGTAAATACAAATTATCTTATTTCTTACAAACTACCAAAGAATTTGTATTTGAAAACTACCTGTCGATACTCGTACTGCTGTACGCGGGCTATTTCATCTGCCATACTGATAATACAATTATAGATGACTTTTTGATCAGATTAGCACACTTCCCTGAAATCAAATTTCGTAACTTCTAATATATCATTCCTCATTCATTTTATTTTTATGAATCTAATGAATCTTTAGAAAATTCACTGAAATACTGATTTATTTTTATCCATAAAACTGGAAAAAATTCAAGAAACACACAATAATAATATATGCAAACAAGCACTCTTCGTTTTTTCGAATTAAATATTTTCAATCTTTAGCACAACCATTGTCACTGAATTAATTCTCAATCTATTACTGTACCGCTATCTCCTATCACAATACCGTTACCGAATTAAATCCCACACTACCACATTTCAACCCATCGGAGCTTATAATTTATGGTCGCTCTATGCAACGATGTGAGGGTGACCACAGTGCAATGGACTGGGTCAAAAAAGACATCGCAAGAGATAATTAAGCCAGAGAATTATTTCCGAGCGGAGCAGTACAAAATAACTGTGACAGGGAGATGGTACCCCTTTCCAGATAACTTAATATTCCAGAAAATAGTTTTATTTCCCTAACAAAGTTGCTATGCTATTATTTGAAATTTAATCCGATCCAGCTGTCATTTCATTATTCGCTTCACTTCTTGACAAGATAAAATTAAGTACAAAGGATTACAGGTGAAACAAAGATCCCAGTAAAGTAGATTACTTCGCGTGTTACGTGCAAACTAATCAATCATGCTTGAAGGATAAATGTTTCATTCAGTTGCAGGACAAAATTTAACGGATTCTATGCCTGATCTTTCGTCTCAGACTGCACTGAAAGGTGGAAGTGTAGGTGGTGTGAGGATAAGGAGTAGTGTAAGGTCTGGTAGTTGGATAAGCAATGAATGGATGGGCGATATTAGGATGAATAGGGATGAACAGGAAATGGATGATGAGTAGAACTTTTCATATTTTATAAACTTGTTAATGTTTTTAACAAGCAGTTGTCACTACTGGAAGAAATTTTAGAAGAACCGGAACACATTGTTTATCTCTGTCTTTTCATCTTAATCTCTTGCCAATTTCAATTGGAACGGCTTTGTGCAAGTTGGTAAAGGTTGTCTAGTTGTTATAAAAAGGAAATATATTCTAAATAGAATACCGTATATTGCCGTTTCAGTTAAAAATCAACCAGCTTTCCGGATAAATTGCACGTGTGGCCTAATAGGCCTGCTTAATTGAAAAAGAAGTAACAATGTCGACTATGCTGAAGACGTTCTATGTAGTTTTGATATTAGCATCTTTCATCTTCATTGGTGTCGGTAAGTTTTCCTGTATTATTGATATTTACCTCATTTTTGGTGTTCACTTAGTAAAAATCTTTCTACTCTCGTAACCTACACTGACGGGTTCAGTGTACAAAAAGCAGGTCAAATTATATATCTGTTATTCTCGAAAAAATTTGCGAGATTCTTTTGAGGAACGAACTAAATAAAAATATTAGAAGTTAATTCATTCTAAACCTCACTTGTCAATTGTATTGCGATGGACAGCAATAAGACAGTAAAGCACAGCAACTGAGAAATTGTTGGGGAGAAAGAAAAAATTAAAAGTCAAACTGAAGATCAAATTAGAAACTGTCGATGCTGTCATTTTATAAAAAGATTTTTCGGTGACGACTTTAAGTAAACGTTTGTAATTGAACTCAACTTATGGATTTTGCCGGTTTTTCAACATATCCGATATAATGGATTTGCATTGTATTATCTTTCAGCATTCTACTTCATGTTTACTGAGCAAGGTTATCGTTTTGATATCGGATGGTTCTTGACAGCCACATCACCACATATGTGGGCCAGTTTGGGCATTGCTTGCTCTTTGTCCTTATCTGTCTTGGGAGCCGGATGGTATGTCACATTTAAATATATCTTTTAGTGGATTTGAGAATTCATTTATTCTAAGTGCCTTGAAATTTCTAATCAAATCTGCACTAGAATTACTTATTTTGGTTTTTCAAATTTTTCAGGGGAATATTTACGACAGGAGTATCAATTTTGGGCGGTGGTGTGAAAGCACCTCGAATCCGAACTAAAAATTTAGTTTCAATCATATTCTGTGAAGCCGTTGCCATTTTCGGCATCATAATGGCATTTGTATTCCTCGGCAAAATTCATGTAAAGCTTTTAACTTCAAAACTGAATGAGTAAACAACTGAATTATGGAAGAGAAATTCTCCATTTTGCTCTTCCCTCTCTTTTTTTCTTTCCATGCTATTCATTTTTTTCCATGGCTACGAAACAAAAATTAAATTTAATACTATTGCAGTTAATAAACTTTTGTACGGCTTTTGAGTTAGAGATCCACAGGATAATTCTTATTAAGAATAGCACCAACTTCCAATAACTGTGATTGAAATTTGAAAATATCAGCTAGTTATATATAGAAATAAACATATCCACACATTTCTCAAGATAGACAATAATGCTTACAATGAATCTTATTTTTATAGAAGCATTAATATTGAGTGTAGTATTTTGTTTTACATATTCTCTATGTTGATTTCATTTTGTAGGGATTCAACCGAGCTATTGCATCAGACACAGTGCTGTCTAAAAACATCGCTAGTGGATATATGATTTTCGGTGGTGGACTTACTGTTGGCTTCAGCAATTTTGTATGTGGTCTATCAATAGGCTGGTTTTACTATTATAAGATCAAATTTCTATATTTATGTTTTTAAAACCTTGTATTTTTATATGCATCAGATTTTAATAATAGCAAGAAGATTAAACTCAACGTATTTATAATCATAGGAATTTAATAATTATCGTATTTATTATCGCTGAATATGATTTCAAAAGCTTTTATTAAATGATGTTTAGGCTGACGAAATTTCAGTAAAATTTTTTACAGTTTTTTGATATATAAACCCTAAATTTAAATTAAATTTTAGGCATTGTGGGGAGTGGTGCGGCCTTAGCAGATGCTGCAAATCCGGCTTTGTTTGTAAAAATTTTAATTATTGAAATATTTGCTTCTGCAATTGGCCTTTTTGGCATGATTATTGGCATTGTACAGGTAATGCAACTTCAATATTTTCACAGCCATATTTTACAGTATATTTCAATTAAACAAGTGTGAAATACATTCATAGGTAATAATGTGTGGAATTTATTATTCTACAAGTGCAATATTTAATAAGATTCCTTCTCTGTCTTGAAAACCACATCTCCTTTTTTATTTTATTAATTATGCTTAATCAAAATATATAAAGTAGAGATAGTTTCAGCATTTCCCGACATATCATTGAAAAAATGTCCTGTGGGAGGTAAATTAAGTCCGAAATATTTTCACCTAAAATTGCATTTATTTCGATTTTCTTAAGGCAAAAAATACCTGAATTCACTGGTCATAATTTGAAATTCACTTTGTTTACTTGCAGACAAATAAGGTTGCAATGGGTGACCAGATTTGAAGTGGAGTTTGGAGCTATTTATCATTTACAACTTTTATAGCTGCGATTTTGGCTTCTAAGAAAAATCTTTAGTAGGCGAAAGATTGCTTTGGAACTATCTTATGCCAGAATATTTCTAGAAAACATATTCCTTAAATAGGAAAATAAAAATATGAAGGAATGGCAAACAACTCTATTGCAAAAGTATATTTGTTTGGATGTATTTATTTATTGTATTGTCAAGCCCAATTTATTCATTAGGACTACTTTCGTCTCGTTTATCTTTGTGTAATCTTTGTATCTCGCGATTCATTCTTATTGCTTTCTTGAACCTTTTCTTGCGAGAAGTCTCCAATTCTATTAAAGTGACCATATGCTGCTCTGAATCTTGGACAGTCTTGGTCTGGCAGAGATGAACTGAGTTCTCTCACTCAGGTAAGTTGCAACCACGAATATTAGGGAAATCTTATTATTTCTGTAGATTTGTTTTTTCTTTTTCTGTTAAGAGGAATTGAACGTAATGTTTCTGGAATTTTCTTTTTGTGTCTGAAATCTGTAATAGTTGTGACTGCATCAATTCAATTATTCGTCAAATATGAATATCTCATTCTTGTTTTCTTATTTGTTTGCGTTACAGAAAATATATATTTCGAATTTCTCTTGAGACCTGTAAAACTTATTCCAGAAAATTTTCATGTTCCCACGCACTTTTACTGTGTCAGTGATCTATCCATTGTTTTGTGCGTCTTTAAAGGTAATTACAGCTGAGTAGCGTTTATATTTTATAAATAAACAAATTATATCTCTCTTACTGCACTTGTCATCATTGAAAATACCAAATTGCTCAGATAATTTCATTGATTCTCACTTATTTTTAAGGTAATTATGTTTTTTGTGTTAACATCTGCCTGCTCTGATAAAATTAGAAAAATAGTGCAACAATTCAAATAGATAGCATAAACCGTTACCCACAGAAAGTCTTTAGTTTCTTAGAACACAGTTTTGTGATAAATTGGTAATCAAAAAGTGATAAATTGGTAATCTTCTCTTCTCTGCAGATATATTTGTTTTCAAGTAATGGGACCTTCAAAAAAGCTTTATTTATTTATTAGAGATTCGGAACATTGAGGATGATATATTTTGATAGTTTTTAGTAGTAACTTTATTCTAGCTTCAAACTTCTAGATCATATTTATACCTGACTAAAGATTATATATTTGTGCCTGATTATTTATCCGGTGCTGACAAGATAGTGAAAGCATTTAAAATGCAAAATTGAGCGGAATTTAATGAAATTATGTAGGAGATGAATAGCGGAACGTTTGAACAGTTTGTATCTTCCTATGTTTCTAGAGAACTACACTGAATTCTTGGGTGTTTCATTTTGTAAATAAATTTGAATTTTATGATTCAATTTTGAAGACTGAAAAGCTTTTCCCAGCAATATTTAGATTCTCGCTATGCTACAAATTACCAATCAGCTTGTACTTTAGATTCTCAGTAAAATTCATAATCCTTAAAGATGTCAACGAGTTTTTTTTTTAATTTTATTATTCACAACATCAAGAGTACTTACTCTATCCATAAAATTTTTTCCTTATTTTTCTCTCTTTGTAGGGATCTAATGATTCTGAAATACATAATCTATTTTTATCCATTATAAATTAAATTGAATTCCAATTATATACTGTCTGTTTTAACAAATATAAGTGATGCAAATTGACTGTACGTCTATTTCTCAAACAACTCAAATGTTCAGTTCAATCATTCAAGTATGAGAATTATATTGCCCACAATTTGCAAATTTTTTTGCGCTAATTTTTTGCTATGATCCTTGTAATCTTACATTAAACTTGATATTTCCGAAATTTAAATTTTTCAAAAAAATTGACTAAATTTTGCAATTATTTTCATTCTCTACATATTATTAGTGTTCAATTTTAGCTTTTTTCATTGAATTTACTTGTACAATCATTGTAAACTTTAATTTAGATAAAAATATTAGTATTACTGTTTCGAAATTAGTGCCAGCTTCATTTCATTGTTGGTTACGAGTCTCCTTTTTGAGCTCTACTTTTCCAAAAAAAATTGTGAAATATTAAAGAAATTGTGACTTCATTTTTATTGCAAGTAAAGTAAAGAAGCAACAAATATCTTTTTCAGAAAATGTATTTCCAAATTTTTGCTTTTAGTGGATTACTGTTCGTTAAGTCAGTTTTACCACATTTTCAACAGTTTTTTCGGATGGAATGAAAGTAATAAAAATTAAAAACAAATTTCGAAAAATATTGGTAAGACGACAGAATAAAAATTAAAGTAAGAATAAAAAAGTATGATTCTATTTGTTGAACTTAAAATACTTAATTTGTAATGGATTTTCAAAGTGAAATACCAGTGCAAGCAGAAAGTTAAAAAAAAATTCCTACTTCGTTTCCCAATTTGTTTTTTAAGCTTATCAGCACTGATTTATATTATATTTAAAATTAGTCTGTTGATGATTTATCATTAAGTAATTTTAACTACTGTTAGTGATTCGTAATAGATGGTTTAATAGTAAATTGATACGTTTCATGGAGGAAACTTCATGAAACATATGAATTTATCCTGTGATGGATGAAGTTGAATTATCAGGCTTTCAAAAGTTGTTAGATCGAAATATGGCTTGGAATTACAATAAAAGTGAGGAATGACATTTTTAAAATACAAATTCCAATCATTAATTTTTAAGGAGAAAAAAAACGAAGAAATCTTAGAACAAAAGGAAGAGGGCAGATGAAATCAGTAGCATTTTTTCCCTACTTTTGTGTATCAAAATATCATTTAAGTTTTAATGGAAATATTTATTCCCCAGCTTATCATTGTGTATGGCAATGGCAATCGATTTTATGAGTGGTTTTTATCATCGTTATCAGCAAAGCAAGTAAGGCACAATCTATTCGTACAATATTTATCACTTATGTCTAAAATTCATCGTTATGTTTGTTTTTTTTAAATAAATTTGTCTTTGTTTTTTTTCGCAGCTTTTGAAATAAAATTTTATTATGAATTGAAATACATTAAAGAAAAAGGTAATATCAAGTATGTTACACTAAATTCAAATTTCTCCAATAAAACTAAAAAACTTTGGAAACTAGCAATTGATAAATTGTTGTGCCATGTAATTTGCAGTATTTTACTAAATAACAATTGAATTTTTATTGCATTTGTCAATACTAATTATATAAAGATAACTATTTTAAACAACTGAAAAATTGGCACTATCTTATATGTATATATTAGACCTGACAATATAAAATGCATAATTTAGTTCATTTCAATTCACTTTAATTTAGATCAGTGTAATTTCGGCATGATTTCATTCAATACAAGCTTTTGTTCCTCCAAAATAAAACTTCAATAAACAATGTATTTTAAAAGTTTACGAATGAGTAACATTTATTTTCATGTGAAAAACTTATATAACTCGCATAAACGATGATTCGACCAATAAACGAAAATGAAGCAATCGAAATGTCAAATTTCGACAATATCATCGATGCTTCAAGCAGGTAAATATGAATGGAACTTCGTTTCTGCACTGGTCATTGATAACATGATTGTATCAGTGTGAGCTTTTCATATGGATTATACTTCGGAGAATTATTTTCTGTTATTATTGTAAAGTATCATCCACTAAATAACTCCTTAAATTTTCACTTCCAGATAATCACAATGAAATTTTTACTCAGTTTTCCGAATATTTTTGCATTTGAAATATATTTGCAGATTCGCAGCAACTTATAATGATTCATTAATACTAAAATTAAAAATTTGGTGGTGGAATTTGACAAGAAAACAGCGGCAGTTTTGTGTCACTTCGTTGTTAATCTTCGTTATATTAATCACTTTCATATTTATAACTGTTTTTATGCAACATAAACACGTTGATTTCTATCAGTAAGTGTACAGCTAAATTTTTCAGCTTAAATTTTAATTTTTTTTAATTTTTTATTTTTTTATGTAATGGTTTTATTGACTTCTTGTAAATGAACTGATGAAAATTCTTATAGATCAGAAAGGTGCAAATGGTTTAATTTTTTTTTAATGGTTAGAGAATGGTTAAGAATCTTTTTTTCATTTAGGCTGAATTAATGATTTTCCGATAATGAAGAATAGTTACAGGAGCTCAACGACTGCATACACAACGACAGTAACAATATCGTCGCCTTCAATAACAATCCGTTCGTCCACGTCAACAATCACAACAAATACTTCTATTGCTACATCCACAATGTAAATTCCGAATATTTTCTTAGCGATACAAATAAATGATTAAGCGTGTTTCTTCATATTGCTTATTTAGTTTTTGTCTTCTTTTGTATGAAATTGAAACTATAGTTTGGCTGATAAGCATTCCACTCTTTCCAAAACCCTTTTATACCAATACAATATACCAACCCGCAAAATTCTATATCATATTCTGTAGTTCCATCGAGGTGTTTGCATATTTGGATCTTTTAGGACTGCTATAGCGACAATCCCAATCACTCCGATAACGGCGATGACTCGATGATCACTCCGACTCAACCATCAATTTTAAAAGAAAATCCATCAGTAATTATGCAAACAGTATTTTAAAATATTGTTTACGTTACTATTGATGAAAATTGATTTATCTCGATGCAAATGTTCAATTCATTTTATTGCACAAGGAACTCGCATATTCATTTTCCGTCAGTTTTAAAAGTGTGTTGTACAGGGATACCAAATTTATTAGTTGATAGCTAATCAAGTTAAGCAATTTGCGCCATCGGTATTGTCTACAGACGAGATATATTACTAAAGTAGGAAGTCACTGATGTCGAAAATTTAAAAAGCATGTCCGAGTGTAATAAAGTCGCTACATTTGTTAATTCATTAGTGAACATGTGTTTTGAGCACATCAAAATAATATAACATTCTATCACCAACAAACTCGATAACGTTTATTACTTGTTTCTGATCAGATGAAGTCACTCTCGGTATATTCATAATCCTGGACAATTAACTCGAATCTGTCTCGTCTGTCTTGATAACTGCCGCATTCACAAAACCACACAAAGGTAAGCTTTTTATCAGTGTCTGGAAGATAACAAATACTCAGTTCAAAATTTTCAACGCTGTTTTTTAAATTTTGAATTCATCTGCCACTTTATTTATCTCGAAAATTTCTGCGTGAGAGGTATTTACATATTTAAAAGTTAGTATAGCTTTGAAATATAGACAAAATTTCATGTGAAAAGACTTCGAAATTAAAACAAAAAACAACCGAAAATCATTCTACGAATTTTTTTAACCATGTAGAAATGTAAGTTTTGCACTTCCGCATATTTCGCAACAAGTAGATGCAAGGATTCATCGAAAAGCTACAACAAAGAGAAAATCAATCATACAATAAATTTTAGTATTCAACGATCTCTTAAAAATTGGTGCCTGCAACATCTTTTTTATCGATTTTCCTTTTTTTTAATTCAAATTTCAAATATTAAAACAATGATTCAAAAACTATATCAAATTTATAAGCGTGAAAGAATAAAATTTATCCTTTCCTTCATAACAACTTTTGTAAAAACATATAAAACACAGCTGGAGTAGAAATAATCTGCAGTATTCTAATGCAATATTGCAGTTTGGAAAAAATGGTTGAGGTGAGAAAAATACAATGAGCAATAAAAATTAAAAGCAAATTTTGAAAAATATTAGTAAGGCGATAGAATAAAAATCAAAAGTGACAATAAAAAAAAATGTGATTTTATTTGTTGAGCCTAAAAATATATAACTTCATGGTAAATTTTCAAAGTAAAATCCAGTGCATGCAGGAAGTTAAAAAATTTACGAAATAACATAAGTATTCATTACACATAACTAGGTCCTGGTACTCCTTCTTCATCACTCCAGTGATCTTCCTGCAATTTCGAAACTTTTTCTAGTTGTTGATCTGGGAGTTGCTCGTCCATATCTGGACTCCAAATGTGTATCATACGGTCATTTCCCGAACTTATAACCTGGATAATAAATATCTTCAGTAATTTGCCAAAACCTAAGATTTGACATACTTCTGTACTTCCTAAATTCAAAAATTTTGATTTTTTAAAAAGAAATGAAAAGCCTTCACTAAAACTCCACCTTTCGTTGATCTAAGTTAAAAGAAATTTCATATTTGAATATACCGAATATACCATTCCCAACCTGATTATACTTTTGACGATATACACATGCGTTGACTTGTTGAAAATGTCCCACAAGAAGGATACGAAAATTTTCATGATCCTGCTTATCCAAAGTTAAAATAAGAACCTCATTACCCGCAGGCGTGCAAGTTCGTAACACTCCATCATCCGAACAGATATCAAAACGAACGGACGGGGCAATTTTGGCATTACATTCCTGAGACAACTAGAAAAAAAATTCAAGCTGTTAAAGATAAAAAGTTTCTGTTTACACAGAGAGTGAATTACCATGATCAACTAGATTTCCTCAAATCAAAGAAAATTTGCCATAATAATAAACGCCCAAAGCTATAAATTTTTTGAAAGTTTCAGAGGTTTCGAATCAGAACCTTTTTTTCCTCATAAAGGTCTTAATAATCAAATTGAAAAGATATTAATTTTGAGTTTTCAAAAATCAAAAAATACCCAAACATGGTTGATCATTTCCATCGTATGAGTCCTCCACACAGTAAAAGTATGATTTAATGATAATGAAACCAGGTATAAACCATCTTTTGAAAATCTCAGACCGCTAATACATTCAGCACCAGAATCTTTACAGTGGTATGAAAATTGACTAGAAGGTGTCACAGTCATTAATTGGCTTCTTGAACTTCTGCAAATTAATTGAAAGTGCACTAGAAAACACAAAATTTACAAAAAGCCGTATTGGCTTACAAAATACCAAAATGAGTAAAGATTGTATGATGCATTTTTGGAAAAATTTTGGCCAGCAAGCCTTGATTACTTTCCTGCTATTATAAGTAAAATATTAACTAGAATATATGTAAAATACGAATATATGTGAAACAATATAAATGTGAAACAGTGTGTCACAGTGTGACGAGATTCAAAAAAATGTTAGCATTGCTGAGAATATAACATGTCAACATGCTACAAATGCATTTGAATGACTGCTTTGATTAAATGAAGGAGATTCAAGAATCACTACTGCTATAACATAGATATCAAAATTTATGAACATGTAAAAGGAAATGACATCGAAGTACATGAATAATATTGAAAAGAAACGATAAAACTTTCAAAAATATCCGGTAAGTTAGGTATATAAAACAACTAAAATTCAAAATTTTCACCTGACGTCCCAAACCACAATCTTTCCACGAACACAACCTGTAGTTAAAATATTTCCGTTTTCTAAAGACCATCTCACTGATGAAACACATTCATCTCGCCACCTCAAATTCTGCGACGAGTCACCAGTTCTGAAAAAACAACACACGAAATCGAATCAATTTCAAAATGAAGAATATTATGAAGCGTGCCAAAAATTTAAAGCTTATAAATGTGAAGAATAATCAATATAAAAAAAGTTTCAATTAATCATGAATAACATGGAAAAAATTTTGACTCTAACGTAAATGATTACTTCAAAAATTAAAATGACAGTTTAAGTTTTAGGTTTTGCTAAAACAGTTGACAGTAAAACGAACTACTAATAATAGATATCAAACTCATCTCGGGTCAATAATAATGATATTTGAAGTTAAATTCGCCACGGCTATCAGTGGATTTCGTACAAAAGCATTGCACCAATGCATTTCAGTTATTTCATGATTGAGGGAATATTCATCTATGACCTCAGATTTATTAGCATCCCACAACTGAAGCAAATTTTTGATGTGCTAGAATTTTGAAACCAAAAAATCAATATGAGTTTCGATTTTAGATCGTCGAAACTGTTGAAATTTGAAAGTTACTTTACATTTAATTCAGCAACTCTGAGCGAAAAGAGTTCATTAGCATCATTATAAGAAAATGAATATTTTTTTATGCGCTTCTACTTTTTTTAGTAGTTTCTTAGAATTAAGACTACCAATGGCAGTTAACTCATTAATCTTTCAAATAATTTCAAGTAGCGAACAGGTTTCTGCTATCAAACTCTGCTGAATGTGCGCCAAGCTTTACATTCGTAAAATGAGAAGATATGAATATTCAAAAATAGAAATTCATTCAAAATGGACCTAAAAAAGAATATGAATCAACTTCAAAATTTGTCGTGTGCTAAAATACAAAACATTTGCTAGCATAATCCACCAATAATTTAACCTAAAAAGCGATAAAAACCAACCTTCACTTTCCCAACTCTATCTGACGTGACAAATGTGCTTGTGTCCTGGGGGTACCACTGACAACACGTTATCAATGATTCATGCAAGCTAGAAAGAAAAAAATTCCAAATTAACACCCGAGTACGTCTATAACGAAATTAGAACAACAGAAAAGCATTCTACAAAACAGAAAAATAAATCATCAAAACATGTTTTTAAGACTATTTTCATAATTTCTATAAAGTAAACGAACTATGCTGTGTGACATGGGATAACAGTATGTTCCATCCGATTCTGATCATTGGTTAGAAGCGGTCTTTCCAAGTCCACAATAGATATTTCACCACGGGCTGCACCACATAACAAGCTATAAATTTACTTCTTACATTCAAAATTTCTCTTCCTCCACATTAGTGGAGGATAGGGATATATGAAGGATATATATTCCTCCACATATGTGGAGGTTCAGGGGGTTCTTCCTCAGAACACAAACAGGTTCTCGAAGATAGCATCTGATCGAAGAAACAATCCCATAACATAACTTAAATCTCTTCTTAAAAGTCAAATAAATTTAGTTGGCATACCTAAAAAATTTCATCTGATATAATTCAAGAGATGAACGGAATAATTCGATGTCATTCTTTAAGCAGAAAACTGGACATGTGTACAAAAAACTTAATTCTTACATTTTATTTAATAAGATTGAAAAAATTAAATTTTTAAATTAAAGAAAGATTGAAAATTTACTATCGGTTATCAACGGGATCCACATCCATGCTGTGAACTCCTGATGCTAATGACGAGGTAAATGGAATTTGTTGTCGCCAGCTGATCCTAAACAGCAATAAGATGCTAAATAGATATCAAAATTTAAATACTTGAACTATGTTTTGATCACCTCAAGACAGATGAATTTTTAGCGTTCTAAAAACATCAAATAATTACCTTAAATGTTCCATTCTTTTTTTGATTACGTGTCGCTGAAGATCACACTTAAGTAATCCAGGACGGGCGCTCTTACCCATTATATTGTGCCACAAGAAATAACGTGGTGAAAGACTTGAACCAGGAATGTTTTCTAAATTACATTGTAAATTACATGAGTACTAGAAATTAGAAATGAGATTCATTCTGAAGTAGCTTTTACTAAAAATCAATTGGAATTCCAACATCCCAAAGCATTTTCTTGTCGGAAATATCATCAGTATACATTTCAATGATATTATTCTCTTATTGAAGTAACAGTTTCATGCAAATTTCAAAATGAACCGTTTTGTCGTGTGGATATTCTGCCATTTTGGGCAACGACACTGTTGAGGGCTTTGAGATCAAATGGAATTGATGTTCGTTGCAAATGTTTCTTCTGGTAATGCTGAAATCCCGGACTTTGAACAAAAACATGTTTTGTATCAAATCTCATTTCGATTGCAGTGAACCAGAATCTATCAAAGAAGCAACCAAAAAATTTCGTGCAACAATCTGCACTCAATCTTGCTTATGGAAACTAATAACTCCCTAGCAGTAAGTGGAAAAATCATAAAGAAAGTTATTTACCTTGCTGGAAATCATATGTGCTTCCTTATATTTCATATGAATCGATTGTGAATGTTCGTTATTCCTTTCCACTCATTTTTCCTCATTTATGCCGAAATATTTCATAATGTTCATTTAATACGTATTTTGAAGCAAATAAAAATCCATACAGCAAATAAATAAAATTAACGGGAATTATAAAACGCATGAGTATCACAAATTCATCGACGTGAGGTTTACTCCCACTTCTCCGTTTGCTACTGACGTACGTAGCAAACACCAACCGTTCCCGCTTTTTCTTGTGCTCTCCGCGACTCGTCGTCATTCTCTGCCTTTCATAAACTCGCATATTTCTCTTTGTCCGAAACACTCTCCTTACACGTTATATCTGTGCACCCTTCCTGTTGCAATTCTTTTCAGAAACATATCTTCCGGGAGATTTTTTCTTGATGAATTGCGATTCGGGGATTCGTGATGGAAGCATTTCTGAAATAACCTTGTCGTCAGTTTATTTATCGCTGCATTTACAATTTCAACACATTTTAATGTTGGTATTTTAAAAAAATATGAAGAATGTTTTGATATAACTTTGATATACGGTACCAATGAATCACAATGACAATTGGTTTTAAAAAAATAAAAATGAAATCTTTCAAGTTTCAAAATATCAAAACTATAGATTAAAATGTGTAGCGCTTAGTCACTATTACAACAGATGATGGAAAATAAGTTGTCTAAATTTCAATTCATAATACAATTCAAAGATGCTAAGAAAGGAGTGAGAAGATATTTATAAATTTAATATTATTGGTGAAATTTCGCAAAGAGGACATCTTTTTCAGATTTTTTTTGAAAACACCAGTATATCTCAGTCATCTATTGCGGGAGAAAATAGAATAACAGAAGCAATTTTTCTAATCATATTTTATCTGTTTTCATTACGACAATCGATACTCATTTGATCTTTGATTTAAATTCAATTCAATAAAAATTGGGTTCATAGTATTTAAATGTAAAAAAAAATAGAATGAAATTTAAGAATAAAAAACATCTCCATTTTTTTGAATACTTCATTTTACCCTTCCAAAAGATGTTCACATCAGATTTGGGCCATGTTCCATTTCATATGTCAAATCAGAAAAAGCTGTTACTAAGCATTCCCTCATAAGCGTGTAACAGCTTAATGCATTTCTTTCTTTATTTGAGTATAATTCATATAATGTAGTTTTTCTTAAATGTTTTCAGGAGAGAAGCATTAAATACGTCGTTATGGTAGCAGTCAAGAAATATCGCATCACTGAAAGGCAATAATCGGAAAAGCGGAGAAGTTGACAGGTGAGATTATAGTCATGACAACCAAATCAGCAATGGGATTAGTATCACTTCATCCCATGAACCAAGATGATAAGAGGTCAGATGATAAGGGGATTTTGGATTATTCAAAAACAAATAGTGTAACAAATCAGAAAACTATATACAAGTATGTGCTTTCATCCTGCAGCCTTACAAACATTTCTAAGTCAAGAACATACAAAGAAATAAGCTCTTGCAAACGTCCAATATAGAACTTGCTAGTAGGAAATTAAAATTCATCGGTGGGAAATATTACTATTTCGTTGAACAAAATTTAGCGTAATTTATAAATAATACTTTCAAAATTTTCATCCTACAGTTTCATACATTCTAAAGTTTATACTTTTAACGTTTAAATTAACCTTTTGTTTTCTGATTTCATGCAATTACATTCAATTTGAAATCTAACTATAGGCTGAAGCAAAGAAAGGAAACAAAAAGACATGTCAGGAGATTTGGCTTGAATTATGCCGGTAATAAATATTCAAGTCGAAAAATTTATTTTTTTCACAGAAAATAATAAAATAGAGAAAAACACATTACAAATAATGTGAATTTTTAAAAAAAATTTGAGTACCGAAAGGACTTAACAAAATTTCTTATTTACCTGGTATAAAGTTCAAATTCTTTTAAAATGTGATAAATTAATAGTTCGCATAGTGTAGGAATAAGTGATAGTACACTTCAAGTTATCTATTTTCTATCTTTTTTTTCTTCTAGAAGGGTTGATTGCTGATGAATTGCTGGATGACATATTGCATTTGTGGTGCACGCCACTGTGGTGCCATATGTCCTGCACCGCGAACAGTTAGGAATGTAACACCTTTGTAGACAGTTTTGAAACCAGCTATCTGAGAATTAAACATCCATGGTTGTTTACTTTTTTTCTTCTGCAAAATCAATGTTTTACAGAATTGCCAACAAACAAAATCAAGTGCGTGCAAAATGCATGAGTGATTGTGGAGCCTATCTCATATCATCTTATCATTGATAAATGATAATCTAATGATGATCTTATCATTAACATATAATTTGCAACGGTAAAATCGAACTAAATATTATTCATTAGTATAAGATTTAGACAGAATACCTGTAATTTGAGCGAAGCGGAAAATTGTTGTCCCATAATAAAATTGCATGCCATATCAGTGTCACCATAATACAATAGCACTCGAACGCCTGCTCCGATTATTTCCTTTATGAAAGGTGCCATATCCTTGTATATTTTATCATAGTTCGTTGTGATCTGTAAAATGATTGAAATAGAAATCAAAATTTAATTTGATATTTGCACCTACCTCATCGTTACACACATCCCATGCAGATAAATTCTCTGGAATGTGTAACGCACGGCGAACTTTAGCATTATTCATATATTGGATCAGTGCTGAGTCATTCAAACAGGGTACATTTCCAGTGAGTGGAGCGATCTGCTAAAATGATAAGTGATTGGTGTAAAATTTACAAAATTTTATGAAAATAAAAATGATTCTTATCGCTTAAAAACCAAATTCATGCACACATTTTAGTTATAAAAAGAAGCCACTTGAGATTTCTAAAATCCGGAATAATTTACATTTTTCGATGAAAAAAATGAAAATATATCATCAAAATTTGACGATGTATTACTAGAAATAAAAGTTGATAAGAAATAAACTCACTCTCAAACTGGTCAAAACAGATCCAGACGGTTTTCTCTTTATCTTTGGATTATCAGTTTTAAATATATCAAAAGATGAAGCAGTGAGGCCAAATTTCATAACACGCATTCGTGCTTTGTTTAGCTTAGTATTTGAATCACAATTACGATACAAATCATACGGATTTAATCCACCGAACCAAATAAATTGAAAAATTTTTTCAACCTTCAAAAAATTTTTGTTTCAAATTGCACAAATAATACAAATTAAATATAATTTCATCTTTCAGAAACTGGCCTAATAGCATTTTAAAATATCAATCAGTAAATGATTTGACTTCTCACATTACGGACTGATAATACTAATGATATAAGGAATTATTAATCTGAAAAAAGATTTCAAAATTATTTCCCACAAAATAGAAAGTAAAATAAGCGCTTCCCTTTTTTATGCAGTATTTTCCAGTGACATTTGTCAATTCACATGTGCTAACACATCCTTGACAACATTCATTTTGAAGCGTATTCCATGTTTTCTCATCAATAAGTCCATGACTATAAGCGAAAAACACCGACGTATCAATATTTAGTGCTTCATTTACATAGCCATTTCCAAGTGCGATACCCTAAAAAAATTTTGTATTTATATTTTTGCATGAAAACGAGCTCATAAACGTCATTTAGAGTAATTTACAATTTGGTGTATCGAATGAAAATTTTTAAGTTTTAAATTTAAAGTAGTCATTTTAGTTGATTTCGGATTATTTCTAACGGATTAATTACCATTATTGGAAAAACATCACTTCATACTTCTTTATAATGTGGTATACTTTTTAGAATACGTCAGCTTTTTTATAAATTTATCAAATAGTTTACAACTTAAACAATATTAAATATGTTGTAAACTGATAAATAGAAAATAGAAATGATAAGAAGAAAACCATAAGATTTATCGGGAATTCTTTATAGCCGCGGATAATGAGGACAGTTAGCGTTGGTACATAAATGCCGCCGTAACTTTCTCCCATAATATAAACCGAATGATTGCGGAAATTTGGGAACGTTGTGAAAAATTCTTTGATTGCCATATAATTCTCCCTGGCTGTCTTAAAAGAATTGATTTAAAATTAAAATAAAAAATAAAATTCAAGATAGAATATTAAAATGTATTCTTTACTTTTATTTTCACTATACTATGCAACAAAGAAGCTGCGAAAGTAATGTGATCGATTTATGCATATTTTAATTAATTCTCTTCCTCAGCCATCTTCATTTCTTTCCCTTACTCATCCCGGTTTATATTAAGTACTGTTGATGACAAGTATTTATTGATTTAGTGAACTCTTCCAAATTCCCTCAATTTCTTTTTAATGATTTCAAAATGTGGAAGTAAGATTTTACGGGTAAAAATTATCAAAAAAAAAAATGGTGAAACTGAATAAAATAAATGATAAGGGTTAATATGACTCTTAGAACTCGTTAATAAATACAACAGTAATGGAGAGTAATATAATGTCGTAATCCAAGAGGTGATAAGGGTTGATAAGATTTGAGGGAAGAATTTTATTACAAACTGAGTGATATGTAGGACGGCACCGGATGATACTAATGGTCAACAGCATTCCAAAATCGGAAAGAAAATGGGATCAATTAGGTAGAAGAGTATTGAATTGTCAAATTTTTAAGAATAAAATGAAGTTTCTAAGAAGTTATTTCCAAACTGCACTTTATTATCATCTGTTTGAATATTCCCATCAGAAGAATATGAATAGCCAACTCCGGCAGGTGATTCTAGGTAAACTATGGAAGCCATCTGAAATAAACTATATTAACATCATGCCAATTTCTCAATTTTCCAAAACAATTAAGCAAAAACACTTTCTGGAAAAGTTGTTTCATTGTTTAATTCTTTGAATTCCTTTTGATCTCTCTGCGAGTATGTGTATGATATACAATTTACAGAAATCAACCTGATTCCATGAATAAGGATTATGATGAAGTGTCATTCCATCATCACTGACAAGATATGGTCCCATTTCATTTAATAGGCCATCTAATGATGAACAGCCAGGGCCTCCATTGAACCAAAAAATCAACGGATCCGTTGCTGCATCATTCTGTGATTCCACAAACCTGAAATAACTTTATTTTTTAAGACAACCAGGTTGATCGAGTAGCGAATCAATACTATTAAAAGTGATTTTATTTTGCAAGACTTCTCGAAAAGAATTGTTAATTTAAATAAATTTTGTTTAATTGTATGTTTTTCTAATATTTGAATTCTGAAGGTCAAGTTTTCAAACTGATAGGATTAATTTAGATCATTTAAGAAAAATAATTTCGAAATCGTCCATGAATCCCGAATATCTTAGGATCTTTCTTAATCTTGTATTTTTTGATGAAATAATTATCAAAGTTTTAACTGAACAATTTTAATTAGTTAGTTAATTCCTGAACATTTTTTTTAAGTTGCTTCTCAAAAGAAGTCAAAAAGATTACATTTTCATAGGATTTGGCGTAATGGATAAATGCCTAACGTGTCTAAGTTCATTACGTGATTCTATTGTAAACAGTTAGCGGAACTTACCAGTAATGCAAATAGTGATTGTCTGAAACTTGAAAATATCCTGAATAATGCTTGAAGTTTATTTTCAGATGCTCCGTTCCAGGAAGTTCAATTATTTCTTCCGCGCTAACAGCGCGAACTAAAAGTATAAGCACCACCGCGTGCCACATGTTGTTTTAGTAAATAGTGAGAGCAGTCAATAGCTCTCAACTCTCAACATCTGTTGTTGACCAAAAATGAAAGATCACAGTTGGTGATCAATTTAGCTAACCAACCTCTGACCTTTGTCCTTTAAATGATACAATTTTTTGTGGTAATCCATTGAACAAAACCACTGTGACAAGCTCAAAATCACAATCTTTCTACTATCATTATGAATTAAAGAAATTTTGTTTATCATTTTCAAAATGCTTACCATCAATGTAATTTTGTGCAAAGACTTTAGAAGCAAAATAAAATCAAAGGATGCAAACTCTCTATTGTCTTTATAGCAAATTAAATTTGAAAAAGAATCAGTCATTTACTTATTTTTTCAAATTACGATAACAATTTATAATCAATATTCTATGAATTTCCAAATTGAATTCTAAGATTTCTTTTCAACCAACACCATTATCCATAATGAATTGAAGCAGAAGAAAAGATTACAATACTGATATTATTGTTATTAAATTCCCATCTGACAATTATTTTTTTCAATTATAATACTGGCTTTATGCGAACACCAGAAAATTTTTGGTTTTATTTGTTTATTACGTACAAATTTCATTTCTGATCTAGTTCAACTGATAAGCATGAAAATTGACATGAACATATCAAGTTCATTTTAAGACAATGATTACCTGAATATTAAGAATGATTTTTGCAATTAGTTGAATTTTCCCCATAAGAACGATTGCAATTATTCTTCTGTTATCTAACAATTTTACATTTTCTTTCAAAATTCAAATGAATTATCACCTGAGGCTGATAGTCCATTCAAATGAGGAACCGGTCTGATTCTTCTTATCCATTTTTCATTTAATTAATAGAATTTTCTATCTTCATATATAATTTAGATTGTTTGAAGAATCGGAAGTAATTATTGATTTTTCAAAACTGAGAGAGCAGTGATTTGTTGTCTGATCAATTTTGTTACAAATCTTTGCCCCCTTTCAGCAGTAGCGAAGTTGAGCGATTATTGCATAACGGTGTTGCATTCTATCTCCTTGGTTAAATTTAAAATATCACTCTTTGACGTTTTAAAAAATCAAATTGAAAATCAATACCAATAATCAACATCAAAATCACATATCGATAAGGTTTAGTTGATAAGCGTTATTGATTTAAAATAAAAGTTTTTTTTTTCTGTGTAAGCAAATTTTTCAATTTTTTAGCATGAAAAGTGTGTTGCTGTTAAGATCCTCATCATTGTGGTTAATGAAAAAAAAAGATTTTTGACTTTTGAAAACATTATTACATCTGCAGTTTTTCGAAAACTCTTAAAAAGGAAAATTTAAGAAAACGAATCAAAAAAAATTAATAAGAATCATGTAAAGATAATTTATTGCATTTTTGTGATGAAATGTCATTCTTTTTCGCCTATTGACTGTTAGATGATAAAGGAAAAAGGAATTTTTTCGGCACGATTTAATTGAATAGAAAAATAAAGCTTTCGCCATAAGAAATGCTTTTTCTTATTTTAATTATCAATTTTTTGACATTTATAATAAACTTTGTCAGAAAATCCATGTTATGAAAATTTCTAAATTTTTGCATTTTGTCATTTTAGACTGGAAAGCAATCAAGTAGAAATGTTTTCTTCATATGTGTGAAAAGTGAAAGCAAAACAAAAAGAAAATTGAAGTGTAAAATTGTTTCAAAGTTTAATTTTGTAAAACTTCACCTTTATAAATCATTTGGGAAGGCAAAAGGAATTATGAAAAATGATAGTTCATGCTTTAATTTCAGATTGCGAGTGGAATTTCGATTCGTTGAGGTTTTCCTGGACAAATCATAAATATTCATCCATTAAATGCTGCTCCTACGGTCAGTTCGTGAAATAAAAATTTCAATCATTAAAATCCCTTTTTAAAACTCGGCTTAATGTCGATGGTTGATTACCCAGTTCTAGTTCAACAAAATACTTCACCACTGCACAAATTGATTGATTTCAAAATTTTCACATTTCCACTGGCAACAACAACCAACAATCCTTACCGTTGATGGGTAGTCGCATGATAAGTGTTATCAGTTAAGATGTATCATTATCAGCTAAAGCAATGATAAAATTTAAATTATCAGATATTATCATCATAAAATTAAGATTGTGTCAAATTAAATGGAAGATTGAGCAGTTAGATTTTACCAAAGGTCATTGCTTCAAAAATTTCGGAAATACTGCAGTAAAATGCAATCATACTTGAAGAGATCATGGAATGTGTTCAAACAGAATTGATGTTTGCAATAATCTGAAGAAGAGCAGTAAGCGGAAGAGGGAGAGGAGGAGGAGGAGGAGGAGGAGGAGGAAGAGGAGGAGGA